TTCTCCTCTCCCACAGTACACTATTTTCTCCTCTCCCACAGTACACTATTTTCCTCTTTTTTTTTTTTCCCAGTTGTTGCTTGTTTTTATTTCTTCTTTCTCCTTTATTATTTTCTCTTTTCCCTGTTGGTTGTTTGTTTATCCTGTTTTGTTTTCTTGTGGGTATGTGTGTGTTTGTGGTTCTCCTCTTTCACAATCGACAAGACACAGCAAGCGTGTCCGTGCAGCGCAGCACAACTCTTCCCTCTGCAGCTCCGCCCACTAGGCAAGAGCCAATAGCAGCTCCTGTACCATCTCACCAACAACAGACAGCAGCCAACTCCAGTCAAACACATCCTACACTCAGGTGGACATGCTGCCATTTGGTGAGAACGTGAACACCACTGTCAATGAAATGCAAACACAATACCACCACAGTGCCCTGGAAAGAACAGACAATTTTAGCTTACACACAAAAAAACCGAGAGAGAATTGCTTAAACAAATGACCAAGATACAGAGCCAGAAAATGTTTCTGAGAAAGAAAAAGTAATGGAACTAACTGGGAAAGAATTCAAAAGAATGATAGTTAAGTACTTTCAGAGGATTGACAAAGAGCAAGGAAAGCAAGAAGGACACAGGAACAACTTTAGAAGAATTCAAGAAAACAGTACAAGAACAGACAGACAAAATACATGCAAAATTTGAAATAATACAAAACCTGCAATTAGCTATCCAGAAGACTAATACTAAGATTACAGAAACGGACAAACATTGAAAGGGCATAGGAGTAGATCTGAAGTAATGGAAGTCCGAATCAGTGAGCTTGAAGAGAAATCTCCCAATACTAGTATGCTAAAAGAACAATCAGAAAATAAAAGATTGAAAAAATTAGAAGAAAGCCTGAGGTTTATGTGGGATACCAGGAAGGGGAATAACTTACAGGTGACTGGGATTCTAGAACAGAATGACACAAAAAGCACAGAGAAAGTGGTTTCAGAGTTGTTGAAAGAAAACTTCCTTAACCTCAGGAAAGATGAGAAGAGAAACAAAGAAGCTGAAAAAACTCCAAACAGGATAGATTAAAAAAATCCCTAAGACATAGTGTAATCAAATGCTACAAAATCAAATACAAGAAGAGAATCCTGAGAGCAGCTCAGGGAAAACCAGAAAATGACCTAGAAAAGGGAACCAGTAAGACTAAACTGTGATTTCTCAGCAGAGATCATGCAGGCAAGCAAACAACCAATGGGATGGCATATACAAAACCCTGAATGAAAAAACTGCCAACCAAGAATCATATACCTGGCAAAGCTGTCCCTCAAATACGATGGCAAAATTAAGACTTTTCAGATAAATAGAAACTAAATGAGTTTGTAATAACCAGACCAACTTCACAGGAAATACGTGACAGGTGTTCTTTGGACTGAGAACCCACAACAGCAGACACAACCAGATATTAACACACATGACATCACCACCCAGCATTCAATCAGGATACAGAAGAATTTACAGTAAAACAAACCTGTAAGACCGAAAATAGGGCACCAGAGATACCAATTTATGCTAAAGACAACTACAGAGCAAACAGAGGGAATAGTGTAGATATAGAACTGCCAAAGGATGAGGAATTAGATTTCGAGATTAAACATTGTTTTAAAGAGTGAAAAATAAACTCAGTGGAGAAAACTATGTGGAACAAAGAAAGCAGCAGAACCGGGGGACACACACACACATACAAGAAAACTACACACAGCAAAAGAAACAGATCTCAATGCATACCTATCGATAATTAAACTAAATGTCAATGGATTAAATGCACCAGTCATGAGACAGAGCAACAGAATGCATAAGAAAACAGGATTCTTCAATATGCTGTGTACAAGTGACACATGAAGAAGATGGAGACAGCCTAAATGCCTATCAACAGGAGAACATTTATACTAACTTTAGTATGCACACAAGGGAAAACTATGCGACACTGAAAACTATCGAGAAATCTGTATGTAAAACATCCCTCAATGTGAGTGAACCTGCAGGACATTAAGCTGAGTGATAATGTTGTTGTTGTTGTTAGGTGCCAACTCACAGCGACCCTATGCACAACAGAATAAAACACAGCCCGTTCCTGGGAGTGATATTAGTCAATCACAAAAGGACAAATATTGTATCAGATCACTGTTATAAAAAGCTAATAAAAAGTTTTCTTCATTAAAGAAGCATTCTATGATGGTCACAGGGGGTGGGGGGGACTTATTCACAGACTAGAGGGCAGATGCATGTTAACATGGGTGACAGGGCAGATGAGGTTAGCAGACAAAAGAAGAAGGTAGTGGGAGGCACGGGGAGGAATGCAATTGAGGTAAATACTGTTAACCCTTGGTACATGGAGGGGGGTTGCAATCATTGTAATGAAGCAAAGTATACAATTTGTTGAATGTGAAACTGATGGTCTGCCCTGCAAACCTACTTAATTTGCAAGAAAACGTTAAAAAAAAAAAAAGAGAGAGAGAGAGAAACAGCACACCATCCAAGAAATCTACAAAGAGTGGCTCTGAGGGGGTGAGTAGAGCTCATGGTAAATTACCCAGGCCCATATCTCTCACAAACAGGTCAATTTAATGTCATGCCAGTACATTTTTAAACAGTCTCAGGGGACTGGACCTTCCTGAACATTACAAATGTAAGACATTTATCAGTCCCAGGGGGTTAGCCCAACAGTCCCCAAATGACTATCAATTAAGCGCCACATGTTTAAGAGGTCAAGAAATCAAGCTCTCAAGAGATGATTTCAGAAAATACTTTGCTCAAGAAACATGCTAATTTCTCCTAGAAAAGCTACGCTGAATTGTTGGTGAATACCAGACTCCTAGTGTGGCACTGGACTGTGAACCACAGATAGGCAGTTCAAACCCACCAGCTGCTCCTAGGAGCCTATAACAAGGTCGCTATGAGTTGAAACCGACTTTGGCATTTACCAACAGCAACTTACAGGAGCATGAAAACGGCTGGACCCTGACTGGCTGGGAATAGGGGTGAGGAATGAAGGCTAGGCAGTGCGTCTGGAACAGGACAAGTTTTGTCATGTGTGCATGCGTGTGTGCATACGTACACATGTTTGTGGGTGAGGAGCACTCACTCACTTCAGCTACTTGACAAGCCACCCCCTACTCGGCCAGATCCTTGATCGTGGGCCAGTGATGGTCTTACTGAGCACAGAGCAATGGAACTTTCCATGGGGATGGGCTAGCCGAGGACTGGCTAGACCGAGGGGTCTGTCAACAGAGGCCCCACCATTTCTCACACATTCAGTGAGAATGCACATGGAGGGCACCAAGAAGAAGCCATACACACACACAGAGACACCCACCCCCACAGACACACACGGACACACAGCTGAGCACCTACACAGTGGACTCTGAGGGGGACTACCCTTTGCAGACATGTGTGGTGGATTTCGGGAGATGCTCACCGGCGTCAGCTTTCCAACGGTTTTGATCTGGGCTGGTGACTGGGCCTGGCCCTGGATCTGTGGGGGCTGCACTTGAGAGGGTGGTGGTGGCGGTGGCGGCTGCCGGAGAAGCTGGAAGTGTGTGGGCGTGATGGGCTTCCCCGCTGCTGCAAAGCAGGTGGCTAGTCAGACCTGGCTGCGGGGTCCCCTTAGGCCCTCTGCAACCCTAAACAGTAAGGTCAAGGATCAGCAGGGGTGGGGTGGGAGAGAAAGGGAGGACACCTTTACCTTGAGACACCTGGGTCACCAGAGACCGGGCCGGGGCCTGCACAGGTGTCAGGTTGGTGGTCACCACTGCTGGGGTGGTAACAGACGTGACCGCCCGTACCCCCTGAGTCGTTGCCATAGACACCAATTCTGTGGTAGCTGTGGCAGGGGAGCCCACAGCTCGGGGCTGGGTGTGGACCACCTGGGCCGGCGTGGAGCCTCCAGACGTCTAGAAAAGAATGCGGGGGGGGAGGGGGCTTTCAGGGGGGTGTTGCTAGGAGGCCCATGATGCAACAGCCCTCTGACCAATGCAGGGTGCTGTAAGGCTGTAAGAAGTCTGAGACACAAGCACAGGCAACCATGGCTCCAAGCAGAGTGCTCCCAAGGTTGAGAGGCAGCCCAAAGCACCATCCAGAAGGCAGTCTGCTGCCTCCATGCCACTCAGACGCTGCTCCCAAGAAGAGTGGTTAGCAACTGCTGACGAGCCACTAGACACGTGTGCCCACCCCAACGCATACAATCCAGCTCCTGACGTCCAGCACGGCTCCTCAGTCCCATTGGCTCAGGGTCCACAGGCACCTGGACTTGAGGTTTTGCCTGAAGGTGGGACGCCATCTGCCCTTCCTCTCAAGTCCTCGCCTCTTGACCAGCAATGGAAGCAGCAGCCCAGATGGCAGAGGCACAGACTCTCAGAGCCAGAGCCTGGGAGCCACCCTCTGCCTCATCCCTCAGCAAGCTGCTGACAAATCCTAGTGACTCGACCTGGGACACTCAAGAGCAGGCAGTGAATCCCGGCCTAGTACCCCTGTGTGCAGGCTGAATGTCGTCCAGGTCTGCCCCTGCTGTTCCCACACCTGAGGCCAGACATCCCCGTACAAGTGACCTCTTCCTGCCTTGTGCCCCACTGGCCTTCACCTCACACACTACCACACCTCCACCTTGTCTGCATTACCCCATGTGCGTGCTAACTGCTAGGTGGCACACTTCTGACCCTCGTGCAGTGTGAGGACAGAGTCCCCAGCGCCTGGAAGGTTCTTACGGACCATGCTGACTGACGAGCTACTTGAAACATCTCACAGGCCTCTAGCAAGGACCAGCAGCCACGTTCCTCACAGAAGGAAGGCTTTTAAACAAACCAATGACTTCCCTGGGCACCGACAGAGGGGACCACCCAGTGCTCAAGGGCAAGGACTACTCACAGGGAGAGCGCCCGGTGTCACGGGGGAGGCGAGTCGCTTGTTGATGGACTGGAAAGTGGTGGCGGGCATGCTGGCGATGGTGTTCACAATGACGTTCCCACTCACGGTGCCTGCAGGGAGATGCTGGTGAGCAAACAGGACGAGAGAACCAAGGGCAGAGGCAGGCGTACTTACTCTCTCCTTACCAGCGGGTATGCTCGTTCCGGTGACTGACGTCTTGATGGTTCCCGCCTGTGTGAGGAAGAGAGTTGAACTTCCTGTGTCCACTCTGTCACCAACAGAATCGACACCCCGTGTGACACCCACCCACAAGCAAACAGTCACACGCACCAAGTCAAATGGGGACTCCTCAGCCCCAGACCACCTTCTCCCCTCACAGTGTGTGCGTACACCAGCACTCTGCTCTGACAGCCTACTCAGTAAACTACACGGTTTCTGTGTAGGTGAACACACGTGTACGTGTTCTCAGGAGAACGGGCCGGGCCTAGCAGAGTTCGCATGTTGTCACCAGTAGTGACCGCTCTGTGCATCTGCAGGGAGACTATGTGGGGTGTCTGTCCAGAGACCCTTCAAACCCCAAACTCCTCCTTCACTGCAATGAGGGCTGCCTGGGCTTCCCTGGGCGTCTGCTGAGGTAGATGACTGCCCCAGAGGCGTGGTGGCAGAGGGAGGGTGTGAGCAAGCACAACCCTCCCCAGACAGCCGGGCCTCCTCCTGACCTCGCAGAGGACGGTCTGCAGGCCGAGGACAACAGAAGCCCCTCTGTCTACACGTGGACACCTGCTCACCAGCACAGCGGTGCTGCCTCCCGTGGTTATCGCTGGCTGCGTCTTTGGCTGTGACTGCACGGGCTGCGGCTGCGGTGGGGGCTGGGCCTGGGCCTGGGCAGGGCCCGCTGGCTGGCCGGTGGGCTGCTGACTGCTGACTGGCTGGGGCTGGGGCAGGGGCGGTGGCTGCTGAGGCTGCGGTGGTGGTGGTGGCGGCTGCTGCGGAGGCTGAGCCACAGCTGGCTGCTGGGCCTTCTGCTGATCTGCTAGGGCCTAGCTCCGGAAGGGAGGGACAAGCGTGGTGAGGAACCAGGCCCTGAGCGGGCACTGCTCTGTGACACCCCGCCCCCCCACCCCTGGGAAGAGTCATGACCCAAGAAGACAGACCTTCTTCTCTTTGGCAATCCGCTCTGCTCGAAGAGACGCAACCTGGATTGGGGGCAGGGGCTTGTCATAGTTGATCCCGCTGAAAAATAAAAGCAAGAAAATGAGATCGTGTTGTTGCTGTCATTGTTATGTGCCAACGAGTTGGTTCTTATTCACAGTGGGTCTGTAGAGGGCTTCCAAAGGCTGGCTGGTGGGTATGAACCTGCAACCAGCAGTACAATGTTGCCCTCTCCAGTGCCAGGACCCCAAGGGTAAGTGTGCTACAAGGAGAGCGCGTTTCCCAGTAAGTGCGCTCAGCCACACCTCCCCCGGATTGTGTTTCCTGTTCTCCCTGTGAGGGCTGTGCCCCTCCACCACCATAGACTGGCGCTGGCCCTGCCCACTCACACGCCTCAGCCCACACTGCCGTCCCCTGGACAGCGTGGTCAGCCCCAATTGTAGACGAGGTCTGTGAGTACCTTTCTGCCAGCACAGAGGCATGCTTGGGATTTTTCTGGAAGGGGTTCATGCCGAGCCTGTGGAGAGGAGAGGAGCACAATGACTGAGCACAGAAAACAGGAGGAGGCAGTCAGCCCAGCCCCCGCTCTGCAACGCACAGCGGCTTGATGGGGGGACTCCGCTTGCCCGCAGTCATCTTCATCAGGTCGAAGTGGCTGGTGTACAGCTGCGTGTGCGTGGCGTTCTCATCCTGGGCATAGATCTGACTTGTGCGCAGAGGACGGTTGTTTTTACTCTGCAACAAAGTGGACGACAGGTCAGACTGCGCAGCAGTAGACGCGGCTGGGAACAGCCCCCTGACCGGCAGTGCATCCCAAGGGGCCTGATGGCACCTGCAGCTGGTTCAGGCTCCGGGAGTCCCTGACCTGCTGGATGAGCTGAAACTGTGTCACCTCCAGTGAAGGGCCACCAAGCCCCCAGGAGTGACAGTACCTGCCCTCCGGAGGCTCTGGAGAGGACAAGCTCTCCACAACAGTGCGCCCGCTCTGCCCGAGACAGTCCCCAGCATTGGTGGCTCTCACCTTCCCCTCCTCTCTGGGGATGATGACGTTCTCGTAGCGGTTCCGGCACTGTTTGGAGGAGCGATAAACGCGGCTGCACGAGTTTACCACATCGCTGACGAGGTCCCAGTTGGGTGTGTGGGCAGGCGACATGATCGTCAGGTTCAGGGGGAGCTCTAGCAGCTGCTTCACGGCCTGAAGACGGGGGTGTGGAGACACCATGGGTTGCAGTCAGCTTGGCCTCGCACCACCCACGACACTGTGTGTACAGTCGGAGGGACCCCCGTGCGAACGTCACCTGCAGGAGCGCCCAGTCCTCACTGATGAGCCACTCGGGGCTGTCCTGGCCCGACTCGGTGGCGGCTTTGGCGAAAGTCGGCAGGGGCTTGGCGAACGGCGTCTGTTGCTTCAGCAGGATGTTCTTCTTCTGATCCTTGCCCTCACGGCGCATCTTCAGCAGGCCCGGGGTGGCGCGGTCAAACAGGGAGCGGGGCGGGACAACCGCCTCCCCATGCCGTTGCTTCTTCTTCCTACCAGCAGCTGTAAACAGTGCACCTCAGGGTGGCTCGCAAGGGGCAAGCAGGAAGTCAGCACCACACAGGGAAACGAGGAAACGGAGACCACCACCAAAGTCCCCACTGCTAAGGACGTCCCCCGTAGACAAAAGCAAAACGGGAGGCCATGCCCCTGGCTTGAGAGAGGCATGGCACAGCCTCGGGGACTCGGGACGTGTACCTGAGGGGTCCGTTTTGTGACGCTTCCGCTCCTTCCTCACGTATACGGGGGGCAGCTTGGATTCGGGGATGGGTGTGGCTTCATACATGAGGCACATCACTGAGTCAATGTAGATATCATTGTCGTCTTGTGGGGGCGTGGGCGGTGTCCACAGCTGTGCACACAGTGGGAATTGCGTGAGCTGTGTAGCTAACAAGAAGCTGGCCAACACACACAGACATACATGGGCTCACTCACCGGCATGATTTCCGTCTGCCCATCCGCATCTTCGTAGATGTATTCCTATGGGAAACATGGAGTCGAACTTACTAAGACATATGAAATGCCCTTAAGACAAGTCTGACCGGTGTCACTGTTCACGAGATTCAGAGTGCTTTGAAGTTACCACTACGAGTCACCCAGCCACAGACTCCAACGGAGTGTCAACTAGTAGGAAATCAAGCCTTAAAAATCTATTCGAGTGTTTTGATGGAAGGAGTAAAAGGACCAGGACATGCTCCCCTGGGAACACAGCTCTCGCACCACCAGAGCACAGGTGAGCACCGGCAACAGGTGGGAACACACCATGTTGTAGGCGTCGCCCCGAGTGTACGTGAGCAGCTCCTCCTGGGGCCCCTCGTCTCGTGCCGCCCTCTCCTGCAGGGCCTTAGCATTCCGGGTCTCCCATTCCTTCATCGACGCCAGGGCCACTTCCTGCGGGAAGAGTGACAGACAATGTGCTCCATGAGTCCCGCTCACCCTTTCTGAACCCTGCAAGGCTCAGAGAAACCTCTACTTCTCTGGGTCACAAGCTGAGTCTGGCTTGTCCACTGTGACATGCTCACAAGGTCCCCACTTCCTTCAAACCCACAGCCCTCTACAGAACACTAAACCCTAAACCAAACCCTAAACCAAACCCACTGGCACCGAATAGATTCGGACTGATAACAACCTTAGTGAGGGTTTCTAAGAGTGTAATTTTTTACAGAAGCAGACAGCAGCATCTTCCTCCTGAGGACCAGCTGACCTGGTGGTCCCATACCTAACCCACAGTGCCACCAGGGCTCCCTGCTCAGATACCAAGTGTGTCTCACAGCAACTGAAATCAAGGGAAATCTAACCCAGATGGGTGCTCACACAGGGTTGGTTCTGTGAGTTCCTCACTTCAAGTTAGTTTCCATATAGGTAGCTTTGTCTTTATTTCATCAAGTCTATGCAAAGCAACTTGTTGGTGGTGGTTTTAAGTGCTAGCGAGTCGGTTCCAACCCATAGTGACCCTGTAGAGGGTTTCCAAGGAGCAGCTGGTGGGTTTGAACCATTGATCTTGCGGTTCAAACTGACCTGGCAGTCCAGTGCATTAATCCACACTGCCACACCAGGACTCCAAAACAGAATTCCAGATTCTGTCTATGTTCAAATGACCAAAAGCAGATTCCCTTACCTCACTGGTTCTCTCTTTCTCTTGTTCAATAGAAGTGTGGAATAATTCCAGGTAATTCAGAGCATACTTCTCAATGGGGGTGAGCTGTTCCAACACACGTTTTTGAACAGTATTAATAGCAAGGTACTAAGATTGAGAGCCTTGTGACCCGCCCACCCCCCCCCATGTCCCTGAAGAATTTCAACCACAGAGGGCAGAAGAGGCATTCACAAACGAGCTGGCACAATATGTAGCTACAATGAAGAACAATCAGATTTCAGTACAATAGAGACGCTCCCCAAACCTGTTCCATGAAGTCAGCCAGTTCCTCCAACTGTGAAGGCTCCTCCCTGAGTCTGGGGCGGTCTTCGTCTGACAACGACACATCAGTCCTTGCTCCTGATGCGGCCTCCTCAGAGGATTTCTCTGCATCCTCCTCCAGATACTCGAGACTTTTGAGAGCCTGGAGGGTTCATGCTGAGATTACTTTGAGATGTTTGGGAAAAGAGGGAGTTTTGAAAGTGCCGACCTACACACCAAGTCAATGTACAGGGCGTTGGTTTAGGGTCAGAGTTCAGGTCAGGACAGGCACAGCCACAGTCTCACCTCTATGAACGGCCTTGCGATTTTGGGCGCAATGGTCTCTGTGGCAGAAGGCTCCTGGGAGAGGACCACAAACTCCTCTGCCTTCACTGGGAAGCCCGCATCCTCCATGGGAGAGTATACCTCAAACAGCTCCTGAATTGTGCGCTGTGGGAGACCAGGGGCATCTTACAGTGCTCCCACCACCCGGTCCCTCCCGCAGTGTCCCTGTCCACACGGTGGTACCTGAGTCAGGAAAGCCATGGAGTAGTCATTGCCCTGAGCAGCCACCTCTCGGATCAAGTCTTTAGTACCGTTCTTCAGCAGCTTCTCCTCAATGGAGTTGCCGCTCACAAGTCTACAAACAAACAGCCACAGTGACTACCAAGCCTCCACGAGCATCTCTGCTGCTGAGGAGGCCCCTGAGGCTTCACCGCCTAGTCTGGGCACTTGCAGCTCAGTTATCTAGACCATCCTGTTTGCTGTCTCCATCTCCTAGGAAGCCAGCGGTAACAGCCGGACAAGCATGCTTCCTTCCATACCTTTCTCTCTGCTTTCATCGTGCCTACTTTAGGCAGAGGCGTGGGGCATCAATGTGGCATCACTGGGTGTGGGTCTGAGACTTCCTTTCTCACGTAACAGCAGGTTACAGTAGCTCCTATGGGTCGCGGGTGCAGCCTCAACCCCATCCTAACGATGCACACAGCTGGCCCATGTGCCCTCAACACAGGTGAAGCTGTAATGGGGTCTCACCAGCCACAAGCCCAAGGCCCAGATGCCAGCCTGTGGCACTCTCCACTCCACCACCTGACAACTCCATGGAGGGTAACTGAGCACCTTCGTGTGTCTGCAGCCACACAGAGCTGCCTGGGGCTAATCTTACTGTCTTCCCCCATCAGGCCAGTTCTGATGCCACGGGGCTGTGATGACATGAGAAATTGATAAGAACCAGTTAAACTTGTTATCTGTCATGAGAACTGTGGTAACTGTGGCGCTGTGGGTTCATGCGCCAGACTGCAAAGCTGTTGGAACTGCAAGGTCGGCTGTTCAAGCTCACCAGCTGCTCCTCGGAAACCCTACACAGGGTCGCTATGGGTCAGCACCGACTCAACAGCACTTCACAACAACAACTTCCCAATCTAAGGTTTGCCTATGAACTGTGCCTGTAGTGTTTTTGTTTTACTTAATACTTAGGTGTTTATTTCATTACAGTCAAATATATCTGCACGTACTTTGGCGTTCTGCTTGGTTCAAATGATTTCTTCAAATCAGTACTGTCTCAGAAATAGTGTTGTGAGGCTTCTGCGTAATTTTTTTACATGCAAGGTCTCATCCACGGGACAGCGTTGTATTTAGAAAGCAGGTAACAAGAGTGCCAACCCGAACCTTCCCCACAAACAGCGGAGCTGGCTCACCACTTAGGCTGACCCCCATCCATCATTTGTAGCACACGAACCAACCCTTGTATGGGGTTCTTCTCCAGGCAATGTGTGTGTCTCAGCCTCTGTTCTGATGCCACTGGGGTGTGGCAGGTCCCGGTGCTGTGGCGGAACATTCAGTCCCATACTCCCAGTGCTCAATCTTTCCTCAGCACTTGTTGGCCATTATCAGACATGCTTCACTCCAAGTAAGTGTGAAAATCATTTTATCCCACTATGTGCTCACAGAAAGAGCTCTGGTACCATAGTGGTTATGAATTGGACTGCTCACCTCAGGGTCAGCAGTTCAAAACTACCAGCTGTTACTGGGAGAAAGATGAGGTTTTCTGCTCCCGTAAAGATGTACAGCCTCGGAAACCCTGTACAGCGCCGCTATGAGGCGGAACCAACTCCATGGCACATGACAACAATAATAAATGTGCTAACATTCATAATATTGCTTTGTGGAGAGTTCATATATGCATGAGTCTTCCTGTCGAAAAACAGCACACTTTTCTCTGTCAGCTCTGGCCCATGTCCTTGAACATCCGTTACTTCTTCGTCCTGTACCTTTACAGCTAAGGTGAAGAAATCAGCTTCTCCATGTCTTCTAGTAACTTCTAAGGGCAGACAGTGAGGAAGGGGAATACACTGGAGCAGTTCTGCACCACAGCACGGTCTGGGCTGTCACCTTCAGGGATGGAGCTTGCCAGGTTGTTCTTTGATGGGTGAGAACAGTCAATCTTTGGGTCGGAAGCTGATTCCAAACCATTCATGCCACCCAGGCTCTTATTTACTGAGCTAGACACTCACTCACCTATGAGGGGAGTCAACAAGACCCCCAAACTATGAAGCACTGCTGCCTAATGGGCCCTCCCTCCAGGCCTCTCCACGTCTACAGGAAGTGCTTCAACTGTCTACCATTTCCCCAGAGAGTTCTGTGCTCTTCCACTGATACGACATCACAACAGGAGTGTGGGCCTGCTGGAAGTACTCCAATCGTGTCTCTTCTCAACATTCTCAAGTTTGGGGTAAGGACAGCCTTTATTACCCTTACAGCACGAGAGGCACACTATCATGATGCCACCTGCCTGACCTCTTCCTCACCAGTATAGTTTCCAACTTTCTTTATACAGCTTCCTAATCCTCCAGTGATCATCCTGTGTTCTTTCAGAAGGCCCTCACTCACAAAGCTATAAGGAGGTTAGTGCACTGGAAAGGAAGGCAGACTTCTCCAGCAGACACGTCTAAGGACTGCAGGACTTCCTGAACCACACCTCTCTGGGACTCTGGGAAGCCTGCATCCTGCAGGTCAGTGCACGTCACCTGTATATGTGAATGTCCCTGCAGGTCAGTGCGCGTCACCTGTATATGTGACTGTCCCTGCAGGTCAGTGCGCGTCACCTGTATATGTGAATGTCCCTGCAGGTCAGTGCGTGTCACCTGTATATGTGAATGTCCCTGCAGGTCAGTGTGTGTCACCTGTATATGTGAATGTCCTTGCAGCGCCCAATCCTGTCGCACCACTCCTGGGCCTTAGCGTCCATCACTGGGTTGAGGTCGTTGTCGTAGAACACTACCGTGTCTGCCTCCACAAGGTTTACACCTGTGGAGCGGCTGTGAGTTGACAGGATGGCACAAAAGATCCGCCGGTCTCTGTTGAAGCTCCTCATCAGCTCCTAATTAAGAGACACACTCAAGTCACGAATACTAACATATACGGGGAAACTTGGGATCTGTTCTGTGCTTCCACAAAGAAACTGCTTCCTTTACGTCCATATGACAGACATCCATGCCAATGTTAGAAGCATTTCCCGCTCTTTCTGGCTCCTCTCAGCATCTGCACCTGCTTGTAAAACTAAGGCACATCCCTCGTCTCCAGCAACAGGCGCACCAACAGCAGTTCTGATACCACAAGCACTGTCAGCTCAGTGTGTAGGCCCCAGAAGAAATCAGATTCTTCCTGAGGAGGGACACGAGCGTTCTCATCTATCCTCAGGCAATGCCAGGGTTCTACAGGTGAGAAGCCCCCGGAGTAAGGCTGAGGAAGTCAAGAGAGAGAAAACTCCGGGCTCTACAGCTAGAAGCCCCTGACACTGGGTTACCTGTACCACGGTGCCACACTGTATACCTGGCTTGTGATGAAAAGTGGTAAAAGAATAAAACAAAAGGACTTTTTTTGTGGAAGTTTAATTAGATTATACCAGTCTCCCCCGTCCAATGTAGGGACATCTTATGCCAGCAGTGAACTCACATAACTGTTAGCAACAGGAATAGGCCACTGCCGTCACCACCAACCAATGGTAACTGAGTCACCAGCTCTCCTCTCACCTGCCGCTGTTGGCTGTTGGCGTTCTCATCGATTCTTACGTAGGTGAGGTAATGGAAGTTCAGGAACTTCTCCAGGATGTCCAACATGAATATCATCTGTGACAAGATGAGCACACGACGTCCTTCTGACTTCAGCTTCTGAAGCAGGATCGCCAATGCTTCTAGCTTTCCTACAAAGGAGATGGCGTTGAGCACATGTCCTGCTCCCAAAGGCACGGCAGGCCACAAGGTGCTCGCCATACCTGAGTCCTGCTGCACCAGCCGGAGCTCGGGGAAGTGCAGCAGACGGAGCGCTGTGAGCTGCTGCAGCTGCTGGAAGTAGGGCGCCGCGCGCTCACGCAGGCAGTGCCGGAACACCTTCATCCGGTGGCTGTACGAGGAGGGCGGCCTCGCTACCCGCAAGGACGGTGCAGCCGTCACCACAGGGGGTATCACACATGCCACCCTAGAAGAAGACAACATGGTTGGTGTGCGGTCCCCACCCTGGGACAGCAGAGCCTCTGTAGGAAGGGTCCACAGAAGCTGCAGCAGTAGGCCAGTCTGTGGTCAGCATGACAACTAGCCCATGCACTCCTGTGTCCTTCACCTACCGTGGATGTGCGACAGGGCCCACGAGGTGACCGTGACTGGTGCAGGCTAAGCTGGGCAGCTCTACTGCCCTCCAATGGGTGACTAAACCCTGAGCCTGAGGAACAGGGCTCGTAAACACAGGAACGTGTAGTTGTGTAGGCAGCCCACTCTGACTACACATCTCTTTTGAAGACGTTTGGGGACTCAGGTGCTGCCCCCTGGCTGGCCCAGGAGTTGATCCTGGAGCTGCTGATCTGGGAGGCTGGGCCTTGCTGAGCTTCCACCTCCCTGCTCACCTCTAAATGGCACCACACCAGTCAGATCCTCTATGACTTGCTCCAGGCTAAATAGTTGTCAGTAGGACTTTTACAAGACCAAAGACTTCTTCGTTGCAAATATCTTTTTTAAGCAACATAAAAGACGACTGTACACATGGACCTCACCAGATGGCATACACAGAGAGCAAACTGATGAAATCTGTGGAAAGACACAGTGGAAAAGCTCCATATCATCAGCCAAAACAGTAGCATCAGACGAAGAGGAGAAGAGCAACTGCCAAGTGGTGTGTCTGTGTGGAAGCTGCTGAGGCCCAAAGGGCTGGGAGCTGGAGGCTGTCTGGAAACTTTATGGATATTGAATACTGAAACATGATGAAAAGCACCAGAATATCCTCAGCTATAGTGCCGGGAGATGAGCCCCTCAGGTTGGAAGACACTGAAAATATAACTGGGAAAGAGCTGCTCACTCAAAGGAGAGCTGACCGTGATGGCGCCAATGAAGTAAAGCCCGCGGGAACTTCATTTGCTGAGAGGGCACAACTCAAAATGAAGAGAAATAGCTGTCAACATCCATTCGTAATTGGAACGTGGCATGGACGAAGTATGAATCTAGGAAGATTGGAAATTGTCAAAAATGAAATAAATGGAAGGCATAAACATCGATAACCCAGGCGTTAGTGAGCTGAAATGGACTGGCACTGGCCATTTTAAATCTGACAATCACATGGTTTACTATGTAGGGAATGGCAAACCGAATAGGAATGGCATCACATTCATCACCAAAAAGAACATTTCAAGATCTGTCTTGAAGTACAACACTGTCTGTGACAGGATAATATCTATATGTCTACAAGAAAGACCAGTCAATACAACTATTATATAAATTTACACACCAACCACTAAAGCCAATAATGATAAAAATGAAGAATTCTACCAGCTTCTTCAGTTGGAAACTGATCAAACATGAAATCAAGATGTATTGATAATTATTGGTGATTGGAATGCAAAGGTTGGAAACAAAGAGGAAGGATCAGTAGCTGGAAAATATGGTCTTGGTAATAGAAATGATGCTGGAGATCACATGACAGAATTTTACATGACCAAAGACTTCATTGCAAATATCTTTTTTAAGCAACATAAAAGACGACTGTACACATGGACCTCACCAGATGGCATACACAGAGAGCAAACTGATGAAATCTGTGGAAAGACACAGTGGAAAAGCTCCATATCATCAGCGAAAACAAGGCGGGGGCAGACTGGGGAACAGACCATCAGTTGCTCATATGCAAGTTCAGGCTGAAGGTGAAGAAAATGAAAAGAAGTCTGTCCACGAGAACCAACATATGACCTTGAATATTATCCTACCTGAATTTAGAGGCCATTTCAAGAACAAATTTGATGCATGAGAGACAAAGATCAGAAGACTTAAGGAATGATATCAAGAATGTCATACAGGAAGAAACCAAAATGCCATTAAGAAGACAAGAAAGAAGGAAAAGACCAAAATGGATGTCAGAAGAGACTCTGAAACTTGCTCTCCAGTGTAGAGATGCTAAAGCAAAGAGAAGACATGAGGAGGAAAGAGAGCTGAACAGAAATTTCAAAGGTCAGCTCGAGAAGACAAAGCCAAATATTTTAACAAAATGTACGAAGACCTGGAGTTAGAAAACCAAAATGGAAGCATAACATGGTCAGCATTTCTAAAGCTGAGGGAACTGATGACAAAATTTAAGCCTTGACTTAATATAACCTACGGACAAAATGTGTGGCGCTGTGGTTAATGCACTGGTCAGCAAAGTTGTTTGACCTGCAAGGTCAGGAGTTCAAACTCACCAGTCACTCCTTGGAAACCCTATACAGGGTTGTTATGGGTCGGAACAGACTCGGTGGCACTCCAACAACAACAACATGGACACAACACTGAATGATGCAGGAAGCATCAAAGGAATGAAAGAATAGAGAGTCACTGAAAGAAAACCAAAACCCAAAAGGTCAATGTTCATCCACTTCAGGAGGCAGCCAGTGACACTAAAGGAAGAAGTCCAAAGTGCACTGAAGACACTGGCAAAGAACAACAAGGTTCCGGGAATTGATAAGAGTACAAACGGAAATCTTTCAGCAAACTGATGCAGCACTAGAGGCCCTCATTCAGCTAAGTCAAGAAACTTGACCAACTCAATGGGGAGATCCCTAACTGTGCCCATTCCAGAGTGACCCAACGGAATGTGGGGTCATTAATATCACATGCAAGTAAAATGTCCCTAAAGATAATTCCAAAATGGCTATAACAGTACATTGACAAAGAACTGTCCGAGCTTCAGGCTGGAATCAGAAGAGGCTGTAGAACAAGGGATGCCACTGCTGAAGTCCGATGGATCTTGGCTGAAAGTAGGAAGAACATCTATTAGAAAGATGTCTCCCTGTGCTTTACTGACTGTGGAAAGGCTTTCGACTGTGTGGGTCATGACAAGCTATGGACCACATTGCAGAGAATGAGTTTTCCGAAACACTTAATTATGCTCATGAGGAACCTGTACACAGATGTAGAAAAGAAAAAGGGAACACTGAATGGTTTAATATTAGGAAAGGTGTGTGGCAGGGTTGTATTCATTCATCATATTTACTCAGTCTGTATGCTGAGCACATAAACTGAGAAGCTGGATTATAATAAGAAGAATGTGGCATCAGGATTGGAGGCAAACGCATTAACAACCTGCAACATGCAGATGACACAATCTTGCTTGCTGAAAGTGAAGAGGACTTAACCTACTGATGAAGATCAAAGACCACAGTCTTTGGTATGGGCTGTACTTCAATGTAAAGAAAACAAACATCTTCACAACTGGACCAATAAACAACATCCATATAAATGGAAAAAACAATGAAGTTGTCAAAGACTTCATTTTGCTTGATCAACTACCAACACTCATGGAAGTAGCAGTCACGATATCAAACGACATGTTACAGTATGCAAATCTGATACACGAGATCTCTTTCAAGTGTTCAAGAGCAAAGATGTCATTTTGAGGACTAAGGTGCGCATGACCCCAGCCATGGTATTTTCAACAGTCTCAGACATATGTGAAAGCTGGACCGTGAATAAGGAAGCCCAGAGAAGAATTGATGCCTTTGACTTACGGTGCTGCAGAAGAGTATTAAAGATCCCATGTGCTGTCAAAAGAACAAACAAATCTGTGTTGGAAGAAGTACAGACGGAGTGCTCCTTGGAACTTAAGATGGTCAGACTTCACCTCTCATACTTCAGACATATCATCAGGAGGGACCAGCCCCTGGAAAAGGCCATCATGCTTCGTAAAGTGGAGGGTTAGAGAAAAAAAGGAAGACCTGAACAAGATGGACTGGCACAGTGGCAGCAGCAACAGGTTCAGGTATAGCAATGATGTGAACATGGCGCAGAACTGGGCAAGGTGTTGTTCTAGTGTGCACAGCGTCACTATGAGTTGGTACCAACTTGACGGCACCTACCAACAACAGACCAAGCTCATGGATAGGAAGACTTAACATTGTAAAAATGCCAACACTACCCAAAGCAATCTATAGCAGCAATTGCTAAGAAGGTGCAGGACTGGGTGGTATTTTGTTCTGTTGGAGCCAACTTGACAGCACTTAACAACAACTAATAAGTGCATCAAAAGACTTTATCCAAAGAGTAAAAAGTAAACCAACAGACTGGGGAAAAAATTTTGACACAGTATATCAACAAGGGACTAACATAAAATTTGTAGAAAACTACAACACCTCTAACAAGACAAAGGCAAATAACCCAATTGAAAAATGGGCACAGGACATGAACAAACCCTTCACCAAAGACAACCAGACAACCAACAAACATGAAGAAATGCTTACGATCATTAGCTAAGCTGAAACGACAATGAGGTGCGATTTCACAGCAGCATTAACAACAAAGTTAAAAAAAGAGAGAAAGCAACAAATGCTGACCAGGGCGTAGAGAGACTGGGTGGGAGTCTCCTACAGTGCTGGAGGGACTTTACAATCTTCCAACCACTATGGAGAACAGCATGGCACTTCCTCAGAATGCAGGAAACAGAAACCCGAAGCAGAGCAAGAGAAGAAATATGGACACTAACGTTCACTGTAGCACTATTCACAAGAGCAGAGAGATGGAGCCAGCCTAAATGCCCTTCACCGTAAGCATGGAGAAATGAATGTTGGCACAGACACGTAATGAAATACTATGCTACCCTGAAGAATAATGATGACTCTGCGAAAACACTTCATAACATGGAGGAACCTGGAGGACATTACGCTGAGAGAAATAAGTTTATCACCGAACGACAAGTATTGTTGGAGACCACTATTGAAACAACTCAAGAAAAGGTTTTCATACTAAAAGGAACGTTCGTTGGTGATTACCAGAGGTGGGAAGGAAGGGAGAGTAATTCAATGGTTATAGAGTAGACACGCGTTAACTCGGGCGACAGAGAGCAATGTACGAGAAGGGGGAGGGCAGTGTACAAGACGGGGGAGGTTGGCAGATGAATGAGGTAGACAGGTGAATACACAGGGAGGTATGCAAGGGCTAAAGGGAATAGGGGTAAACTGCGATATATATGCAACCGTAGAACAAGTGTTCTATGTGTAGATACATGAACAGAGACGGGGTATGGAATAGTGGGGTATATGTATATATATATGTATGTGTATGTGTGTATGTATGTATATGTATGTGTATGTGTATGTATATGTATGTATATGTGTATGTATGTATGTGTGTGTATGTATATGTATATATATGTATATGTATATGCATGTATATGTATGTGTATGTATATGTATATGTATGTATATATATGTATATGTATATGATACGGCGCTGTGGGTTAATGCGCCAGACTGCAAAGCCGTTTGAACTGCAAGGTCGGTATTTCAAGCTGCTCCTCGGAAACCCTATACAGGGTTGCTATGGGTTGGAATTGACTCAACGGCACTTCACTAACACAACAACAGTACATATATATATATGTATGTATGTATGTATTTATGTATGTATGTATGTACTTATATACCCCACAATCATGTAAAGTATGAAAGAAGGTTATTTGTACATGGGGAACCACAGGGAGGAGGCGGGACAACTGCTGATGCATGGCAGGAACTGCAATCACTGAGATGTAACTGTACGATTTGTTGAAGGTAATCTGACAATCTTGTCTGTAAACCTTCACTTAATTCACTATAAAAAGTATTTAAAAAGAAAACAGGTTTTCAAAAAGGGTAAAATGGATAGAATCATCACCAGTACAATGAGCCGTTTGTCTGTACATCAAATTTGGCACAAGTGTCCAGCTTTGTAGCCAAGAACACCCAGGTAAGCCTGAGGTAGTCACACTGCCTAGAAGAGACCTGCAGGCATCCCTGAAGGTGGGTGCCAGAGAAAATCTCTCTAGTAGAGCCCAGAAAGAAACAGGGTGAATCTGATCCTAAGTGTTTTAAAAGAAGACAGACATGAAAACCCATGGAAAAACTTCCCGGAATAAGATGGACACGACTGTCCAAGTACAACAAAGTTAAGAGCAGCTACAGGTGAGCATACCTGTCTACAACATCCTGCAGGGACTCTCGACGTCGGCTCAGTGTCAAAACCAGCTCACTCCTGGTGCTAGAGGGTCCTGTCCCCTGGCCGAGGGCACCCCACGTGACCAGGGAACAGACCCCCAGTAGGTCTCGGCCATAGACAGGCATTCGGGAGCAGCGCCGCTCGTTGACAAGGAAGATCTGGTCCACCCGTTCCTTCAGGAGTCTGGTCCTTTCCTCCTTTGTTGGAAACAGTGTGAGAAAACGGTCAGTACAGACCCACCCCAGATCACCTTTCCCACAGCACAGCAATGCCCCTCATGTACAGTGACGCTGCAGAGCAAATGCAGGTGGCACAGGAGGCTTGGTCTGCAGTACACAGGGATGTGGAGGTGTTGGGAGAAACCAGGGCCTTCCCTTACCAGTCTGAGGAGCATCACTCAGACACAGCTCTTGCTGGTGCCCAGAAGGACTTCCAGGGGAGTACAAAACATAAGAGAGATCATGAAGCAGCTGCTCCATTTCCTCTATTAGGAAAAGCGGCGTTTCAGAACGCAGATGCGCGCAAAGGAAATGTGCCTTTCAGAGTCTGCAGTGTGGCAGGCATACGGCTGGAGGTGGCATACACCAGTGAATGGTACCTGGGTCGGAGCGCCAAGGGGTGAGGCTGGTTTGGGGGCCATCCCGGATTCCCCTGCAGCTACAGGGTTAACTGCCACTCGACCTGGAACACCAGCTGCAAACACAAAACGGGGTATCGGAAAGGGACCCTACCAACTCACACGACTGGCTGTGTTACAGGCCCAGTTCAGGAAGGACCCTGATGATATATGGCTCTGACACAGACAGATGAGAGCCTCCTGACTCAGCCATGTCAAGCGACAACTTGACAACTACCACAGGCAAAAAAGGAAATCGATGCTCAGGGTCATGAAAATGGAGACAGCAGTCCATCAAAGGAAAAAAACCATTTGAGCAAACAAGGCGTATCCCATTTGTCACAGTCTTCTGAGAGAGGAAAGCTAGCTCCAGGCTGGGTCAGAAAACAGCCCCACTGAGGGCAGGCTCTGCCCGAGAGCAGGACGGAGCTGGCCTGGGTGTGCACACCACCTCTGACAGCCAGCCAGCTAACCAGCGAGCCAGCCAACCAGCCAGCCAGCCAATCAGCCAGCCAGCCAGCCAGCCTCTCATGCTTCTAACCTGCTCGAATGACCATGGACGCCAGACTCCAGTCAGCATCCTGAGGAGCCTTGCTCTATTCAGCTGCCACCTTGAAGGCAGAGGGAAGAATCGGGCAAGGACAGCATTATGACCCAGTGCTATGGGAGCAAAGAACCCCAGGGCCGACGCGGCATCCCAAGGCGGGAGATCAGTTATCTGCACTCCTTTCAGAGGACCCCAGAAAGATGTGTGACAAGTACTTCCTCCACCCAGGGCGCTGTACTGTACCTTGTGGGGCCAGGGGCGTGGGAGCCGGGGTGCTGGTTGGGGGTTTTCCTCCAAGGGCATTGAGGGCGCCGTGCACAGCTCCCGCCTGAGACACAGTCTGCATGACCACGGGGCCCGGAGGCCGCAGGTAGGGCTGCCCGGGGGCTGACACGATCTGGAGCACACTGCCTGCCATCAGATGGAGCACAGGACGGAGTCAGCACCCGGCGGCACTGAGGCCCGCAGGCCTGTGATCAGAGGCAGCACAGACCACACGGCTCACCCACACTCAATCCCAGTCAAGTCCACACAGACCTACGGGTTAGCTACTCAGAGAGGAATGCAGAAAGAAGAAAAACCCCAAGAACAGAGTCCACGTCGCCTGCTGCTGGGCTGGCCATGCTAGCAGCAGCGGGGAGGCCAAACCCAGCCCCCTACAGCATGTGTCTGCACAACGAGAGACGACAGTGACACCTCAGGACGGTGGCCTGCTAGGACTCTTCAGGAGCTGCATGCTCTCAGTCTTGTCTGCAATTCGGGAAGACTGTCTCCCATGATGCTTAGAGAACAGAGTCACCCCAAGACAGGAAGGGGCCCTGTCTGTGGGCATCCTGGGGCCTCACACAAGTTGCTGCCAGAGGACGCGCGTTCAGTGTACTGCCTAGAGCCTGTCCCTTGGAATGAGTCAATGCAAAGGAGATTCTGCCCAAGGAGAAGAGAAGGCTCAGGGCCAAGGGCTGCTGGTGGTCACAGGAGTGGTTTGTGACAAGTCTCTCGCTCCAGCTCATTTGAGAACAGGCATGAAAAATAAGTACTGCTCTTGGCCTAAGGGCCAGGGGCCAGAATCACAGCCTGCTCAAGAGAGAAGCCCGTTCCCCCATATCACTTCCTGTGAAGTGTTTACAATTCATCTCACACAAAAATACGAAAACAGCAGGCTTGGCTTAAACACAGGTGCCTCTTTTCAAAGGGCAGACAGTAGCAATGAGTATCACGTAAGCAACCTGAGTCAGGCAGCAGGCCAACGCTGTAGTGAAACGTACCAATGCCACGTGCACACCAGCAGCCTGAAGCTGAGCGGCCAGACACCCACTTAGTGCTGCATTGTGGTGGCGTCTTACCTTGCAGTTGCAGGGGCTGGCCCGCCGTCAGCTGCCGGAGCTGGTTGTGTGACAAGGTGAACTTGTTCCCCTGGAACTGCAGCGTCACGGGTGTCTCAGGTTGGGCGACACGGTTCTGCGTCCCTGCGATGGATGCCAGCTGAGCGATTTTCACCACCTCACCACCTGGGCAGACGCAGTGGAGAGACGAGTCAGTACTGCTCTGGGAGGAGCGTGAGCCTGCTACGCGGTGGACACTTGGTGTGTGCGGTGACTGTCTACAGTGGACTCGAGCGTCACAAGGCCGTGCACCGACACTGCTTCCCGCCACTCTCAGAAAAGAACTACTTCCACAGGAAAGAGAAATCAGTTAAGAAGCAATATCAGATTCTAATAGTTAGCTGACTAAAACCGTGGTGGTAGGTGTCTTAGATGTTGGATATTAAGATTAAACTAAACAAGCTTCCTAGGAACATTTTACTCTTCTCCCCACACACTAAGAAAAGCGGCAGACATCTATTTGCAAAACCCTTGGAGAGATCCGAGAATTTTCAGAGTGTGGGAAAGGCTGGAGATCCACTGGCGCTCACTGAGGCAAATCAGGGTACGTGGCTACAGATCACCCACACCCAGGACCTTTCGTGGCCTGGGACACACTGCGGTGTGTGAACGCACACGCAGCCTCCCACACGGGGACTCCACCAACCTCGAATGCAGGCGCCATCTGTGGCGTCTCTGCAGAGGAGCCAGGCTCAATCCGTCATGAGCATGTGCTCAGTGGTGGCCTCGGAGAGGTAGCCCCTATGGCTGTAGCTCAGCATCAGGCTGACGAGGCTCAGACCCCACAGCTGTTGTTCCTGCCCGAATGTTCCTCCCCAGAGAACCCCAGCCAGAATCAGAGTAGTTAGTGAAACGATACGAAGAAGAGTTAGTGGAAGGCTGAGAATCACAAGTCTGAAGCTCTCTGCCCACAGACACGCAGGACAGGGAATGAACTGAAAAGGGGCCAGCCTGTGACGGACCACAGAAATGTGGCCCTACTGCTGGCCCTCCACTGCTCCCAAACAGGGGAGACAGCCCGAGGAGAATGGGCCACAGTCCCCTCACCCAACAAGAGCCCTGAGGTACAGCCATGTTCCTCCTCCCAGGGAGACATTGCCCTACGAAAACGGGCAATGGGCAAGGCTTTTCTCCCCCCAAAAAACCACCGGGGAGATTCCTCTATTTGCTGGCAATGGAAGAGACTTATCCCAAAAGAAAACAGGTCTGATGCCGGCATCTCACACCATCACGTGACTCTTCCATCTTCCCAGAAAGTCCTTGACACAAAGAACCAAAGCCCCTGGGGCAGCATTTGAACAACCACACAATCCCTAAGACATGCTGTCCAAGGCCTTCCCACAGCAGAAGGATTCAGGAGACTGGGCAGCTCTAGAGATGGACGAATCGCAGGGGCTACTAAAGTTCTGCCATTAAGAACAGAAATTCATTAAGGCTGGTATGACTTCATTACTGACTAGCTATGAGAGCTCTCATTCCACTAAGTGTGGGGCTGCGTGAGGACTATAAGAGCTGATGGTGTTTGGGGCCTTCCCGTTTATGAGCAGAGCCCTACTGTGAGTGTGAGCACCGTCAGCTGCGCGCCAGCAGTGCAGGTGGGCACGAGGACAGCAGAGTGGACATGTAGGAGAGAGGAGGACAGGAAGAGAAGGGCAGGGCTGCTGCTCCAAAGAGGCCACACCCACCTCTGGTGGCCAGGTCAGGGACAGACAAGGAGCAGAAGAACAGGAAAGGCCCCTCACTCACGCCAGTGTTCACGGAACCATTCCTCTGGGTCAGAGGGCAGAGACCTGGGAAGGCGAGGCCACTTACTCGGCAACCGAGCCTGGGCCTGGGCGGTCAGCACCAGCCTCGGGGGCAGTGCACTCTGCG